ATTTTTGATGATTGTTCAATTTCTCTATATCAACTACTGTGAAATTATGCTTCAACTTATTGATTTATCACTAGATATGGACAAATATTGATAGGGCATATTACACAAAGTTTCGCGCAGATACCTATGGTATCAATAAGATTCGATAATCAGTACAGGCAATATATAATTTCTTATGAGAAAAACATCACAATCAATACTCTCCTGGAAAAAAGTCTAATCTTTCAGAAACTTTCAAAACGGTATAATTTAACATTTTTCATGAGACATCGAACTTTGGCGTTTCACTCCTAAATGGAAAATTATTTGGTGTTCATCGATCACTGTCTTATTTCACCGAACAAACAAAAATCAACGATTTTTCTTTGGGACCTAATACGCGAGATAGCGCTTCCAAACAAAATTTATTGCTTCTCTTAGAAACCCGCGGTTTTCCGCTACACCAGAGTTGGAAAAAGTTCTGAGCCCTTTGAGTTGTCTTGTAGAAAAATTGAATGAGAATAATAGCGTGTCGAGTCAGCTGAAATATGTTTTGCAAGGTACTGATTAAAAGAGGAAAGTTACATGAACTTTGAATGAATGTCAATATTGTTGAGCATTCGAAACAAACACCCCATTTCATTTTTTCCTACTATAGCTCTAGAACATACCATTATATATGTTACCTTCACACTTCTGCTAGTTAGGGCCGATTTATCAATCGTGAATTAAGACTGCATGCTATAGCAGACTGACAACTAACATTGACCAATGGTTAAGTAATTCTCAACATTCTACTATCCACCTACTGCATATACATTTTATAGCTGATTAAAACAAGATTACATTTTTTACGCTACTAGCTCAAGAACACAGCATTATATGTATACTACCTTCACACTTCTGCTAGTTAGGGCCGGTTTATCAATAGTGAATTGAGACTGCATACTATAGCAGACTGACAATTAACATTGACCAATGGTCAAGTAATTCTCAACATTCTACTAGGTACTCACCTACTGCATATACATTTTATAGCTGATTAAAACAAGATTACATTTTTTACGCTACTAGCTCAAGAACACAGCATTATATGTATACTACCTTCACACTTCTGCTAGTTAGGGCCGGTTTATCAATAGTGAATTGAGACTGCATACTATAGCAGACTGGCAACTAACATTGACCAATGTTCAATTATTTCTTGACATTCTACTATTTACCTACTCCATATCAATTTTATAGCAGATCAAAACAAGAAAATAGCTCTAGAACACAGCATTTTATGTATGCTACCTTCACACTTCTACTAGTTAGGGCCGGTTTATCAATCGTGAATTAAGACTGCATGCTATAGCAGACTGACACTTAACATTGACCAATGGTCAAGTAATTCTTAACATTCTACTATTTACCTTCTGCATATAAATTTTAAAGCTGATTAAAACAAGATTACATTTTTTACGCTACTAGCTCTAGAACACAGCATTATATGTATACTACCTTCACACTTCTGCTAGTTAGGGCCGGTTTATCAATAGTGAATTAAGACTGCATACTATAGCAGACTGACAACTAACATTGACCAATGTTCAATTATTTCTTGACATTCTACTATTTACCTACTACATATCAATTTTATTGCTGATCAAAACAAGAATATTACATTTTTCCGCTACTAGCTCTAGAACACAGAATTGTATGTATGCTACCTTCACACTTCTGCTAGTTAGGGCCGCTTTATCAATCGTGAATTAAGACTGCATACTATAGCAGACTGACAATTAACATTGACCAATGGTCAAGTAACTCTTAACATTCTACTATTTATCCACTGCATATCAATTTTATAGCTGAGAATGTTGGTAGTTATTCGATTATTGGAAGAAACCTCTGATTCTGTCTTATTCGATGTCTTCTAATATAAGTTTTATATTGTCATCTATTTCGTCAAGAGTTACAAAAATGATAAAATAGTAATAGAGTTACCAGAAAATGTTAAATCTTATCGAGAATAAGATAATCTGGAAAATAACTAAACCCAGGGACTTGGAGACAAAAGGAAGCAACTTGGAAGACTGCTCTTAATTGAAGTAAGAAAATAGAGGAGTTCTTCAATATAAACAGTTCAAATCTCAACGACGTTGAATGACTATTTCACTCATCTGAGAATTCTCACATAATCTGACTATTCACAAACCAAAGACAACTTGTATCATTGCGAAAACACTAGCTGCCTTTGAATTCTGATTGGTCTATTAGCGTTGTAACAACGAGCAAAGTTTGACAGTTTGACATAATGAATATTTACGGAAGAGCGAAGCGAGATCATGCAAAACACATAGTTACACACTATAGTTACGTACAATATTTTTTTCTAATTTTGATAAAAAATTTCGATTGAACAGAAATAATGACCAGTTCTACCGATTATGTACTAAATTTAGTAGGCAAGTTGACTTCGCCGGTCACTTCAGAGTATCCGTCAAACAATGATATGACCACAAATCAGAGTCAAGCGGCACTGAAGGCAATAGAAAACCAGGAAGTGACATCTCGACTGGTATGGGATTGCAAAAGAGAACTGAGGACTTTGGCAGACCAGAACTGCGTCCAGCTAATCTGGGTGCCAGGACATCAGGGGATCGCTGGCAATGAGAACGCTGACGAACAGACGCAAGAAGAGGGTCGGACAACGAGCCAGATCCAGGACAGATTCTTGGAGTAGCAAAACGTACAGCACGAGTGCCAGTTAAAGACTAGATTCAGGCAAAACATGAGAGCTACTGGGAAAACATCCCTAGAAACAGACATGGGAGACAATACTTTAAGGGACCTAGTCATAAACGAACTGTAGACCTGTTCAACTTCACAGAGTACAGATAAAAACTGTTACGGGACTCATGACTGGCCAAGCGCCAGTAGAAGGAGCACTTCACCAGAATGGGACTGTATAATGGCAACCCAAGCTGCAGACTATGCGAAAAGGAACCAGAAACATTATCACATAATATACTGTGCAGATGCGAGGCATTGGATCGCAAAAGACAGAAGATTTTTGGGCAACCAGTTGGCGAACCAGAAGTATTCAACTCACATTCAATGAAGGATCTGTACAGACTTGTTCAAGGTATAGAGATAATGGAGTGGACACAATAATATGGAAAAAAACCTACTAGGTAAGATACAATGGGCCACCAGTCCTAAGTGTCGTCGGAGACATTGGGGCAGACCAGCCTACAAGCGGGGTGGAATATTTAGTGGGTATACCCTGACTAGTCAGGGAACTCCCACACTATTATATGGAGGATTAGACCCATATGATGTCCATAAAGGACCACCTCGAAAAAAAAATCAATGACGAAATTCACGAGATAGACTCGTTTGATATCTTCATAAGTGGAAAATGACTGATTCCAGTTCAGATTTTCCAAGTATTTTTATTACGTAACTGATGTCGAGTGTTGGAATTAAAATTTCATCACCACTAATGTAATATTTTACTTCACCTACGGCCACTATAGGAAGTAGGCAAAAACACACGAGATACTGCCTCAGTAAGTAGCTCTTTGCGCACAGTGAGCACATCGAACAGTTTTCGTTTATTCCGTCAGTATAGGTATGTCATGATCGCGTAATCTTTGTCAACAGCGGATGACATAACTGTCAAGAATTATAATTCAGGCTGTTTGTCCAAACTTTTTTGATGTACTATATGGCAGTAGTTAAAGTATAGTACGAAATGCGTGTTGTAAAGGAATCACGCACTCATGGAATTACGCTACTGGTTACGTGAATTATGACGATTCAAAACTTCCGCCAGTTCTAAAAAATGTCAAATTACATGTCACAATTAGAAATAGTAGATTGTTTTATTAGGATCAAAAGTGACACTTTGTTTGACAAGCGAATTTTGCATTTGCGAGGCGGAGCGTTCAGCGAAGCCGAGCGAAAGCAAAATTTGCGAGTCGAACAGAGTCACTTTTGATCCGAATGAAACATGCTATTTTTTCTGCAACCGAAACAATTAACTCAAATAAACATGTGAAGGCACCACCAATGCCGTGCCATATGTATGCAATGCAACACATATTGACAAATAATCCATGTGATGAGAATAGTCTACCTGCATTAACATCAGGTTATAGGTTTTCTAGGATGTTCGAATTGTAGTTTCAATATAAATACAACCACAGAGTGACATATTTGTGTATGGACCAGGTGCTCTAATGGCAAATACCGCGCCAGTGCCAGCTATAGGAACAAGACTTGATAATCAAATGAAGCTAAACAATATCGTTGTTTGAGACAAAAAACTATTGCTTGCCGTGATTATTCAAAAACAAGTTATCCATCCCGAGAATAACGAATGAAATACAGATCAAGCAAGTATTTGAATCTTGAAGGCTTCACTGATCAAAACAAAAATACTTAACTGAGATGTTTATAATTCCAATACTAAACTATAATAAGGTGTATTTATATCTCCAGCATGCGGATATGAAATGCCAAATCTGCTGAAATCGGAAACAAATCAGGTATATGCGTCTCAACCCAAATAACCAACCGTCACAATGTTGTCTATTCTTGATGACGTCCAGTAGATCCTTTTTAGTTCCTAGGAGCTAAAGTTCAACTTTAGCTCCTAGGAACTAAAATTCAACTTTAGCTCCTAGGAACTAAATATGTTGCCTAGCAACATACCTATTTTTGTGTCAGTAATAGAAACGTCAATTTAAGAGCTAATTTTGGTATCAAAATGGACGAGTTTTGTCTCGGTTGCAGAAAAACATAATTATTATAACTGTAGATTTCAGAATTAATCGCTTTGGTTATAATGGCTTATTCGTGTTTTCGATAAATACTTCATGAAATAGCGTAGCAAACTACCACTTTGTTCTGAATATCGACAATAATCATAAAATCATACTCTTGATTGGAAATCATGAAAAATAAAAATCACAAAGGAAGCGTTTTCTAATACATTATGGACCTAATAATAAATATTTTTTTATACTTACATGACCCAAGTCTCGACCCAAGTCTCGACCCAAATCTCGACCCAAGTCTCGTCCTAAGTCTCGGCCTAAGTCTCGACCCAACTCTCGTCCTAGCTTGTCTTCTTTCCTCCTTTTTACTGACGGGTCAACTTCCGCTGGAGATCTAGATCTGTATTTGTCCCTATCACCGGGAGAAACAGAGTTCTGAAACAAAAACATCTGATCAAACACTGATATTTCGCATCCAAATAATGTAAAAAAGTGATGAGAAATAAATATATATACAGTGTGACCCACTTAAGACCGGAGCACCCTTATAAAATCTATAGTGTTTGACCAATTTCTTTTTTTTTATTTCAGCAGGAGGACTATCTTGAGATCTACGTTTACACAAATTTGCAAAATAAAATTTCAATCTACAGGGCATACTATGTTATTTTTTTCATGTTAAAAATTGGGAAGTATCATTAGCGATTTTTTCAGAAAAAAATCGACCCCACCACTTCAGCATCCTTCAATTAGGTTGAGCGCAAAATTTCATTGAAAAATATCAATTGGCAACAAAGTTATAACAACATTATTTTTAATTGCTCACCATTTTTTATGAATATTTCAGACAAATTCTGAGAAGCGGCAACATTCTCAACACAAATGTTGGAAATCATCAAGGTTTCTCGTATACAATTACAAATTATCATCGAGTTATCAACATCTAAAATGGAATTTATCTTGGTATTCAAGGAAAGATTCGTAAAATGAAAAATCCATAACGTCGAAAAATCGGCCTTGTTCATCCAAGTAGTAATTAGAGTTAGAAAATCGGATAGTCTGTAGAGTAAGATGATATCAGAAGCCAAAAACATCAAGAGCTTCCAGAAATTGTTGGTTTACATTGATAATTAACTCATTATGAAAAGCTGTTTTTCCGACTTCATTACTTCATTCCAAAAGAGTACCATCCTAGAGATTATAACTCGATAATGATTTGTGTTATCAATTCAAATGTATACCAGGAACCTCAATGATTTCCAACATTTATGTTGACAATGTTGCCGCTTCTCAGATTTTGTCTGAAATATTTATAAAAAGTGGTGAGCAATCAAAATTAATGATGTTATAACTTTGTTGCCAATTGAAATTTTTCAATGAAATTTTGCGCTCAACCTAATTGAAGGATCCTGAATTCAGTGGTGGGGTCGATTTTTTTTTGAAAAAAATCGCTAATGATATTTCCGAGGATATTTCGCAATTTTTGACATGAAAAAAATTATATAGTATGCCCTGTAGATTGATTTTGCGAATTTGTGTAAACGTAGATCTCCGGATAGCCCTTCTGCTGAAAAGAAAAAAAAAGAAATCGGTCAAAAACTATAGATTTTATGAGGGTGCTCCGGTCTTAAGTGGGTCACACTGTATATAATATAATTCAATTGCCGGCTAAAAGTATAGGATATAGTTCCTTAGCTCATTTTAAGAAGAAAAGTCCATATGAACATATTATGCCCGAAACCTCTTAACTTTCGAGCTATAGGGTGTTAAAATTTTAAGAATAAATAGGTTCTCTCCTCATGACTTCCAAACTGTTCTAGATATTTTCATGAAATTTTACATGCACCTACTAAGGACCATGCGGTAGTTTGTAATGAGGTGTGGTTTTGTCTAATTTTTATTCAAGTAAAGTAAATTGATTGAATTAGCCAATATGGTTTTTATTTTTCACGCGGAAACGGTGCGTCGGACTCAAAAATTTCAAGGGATCAAATTGTTTAATCAAATCTCCGGTTTCCTATATATTATCAAATCATCCCTCAGAGGAAGAAATACCAGCTGAATTGGAGGATAATTATTCGGATCATACGCAATTTCAAATAGTGAAAATAACCTTTTTTATGTCTGATGATGGGCGTTATGCCGAAACCGGTAACATGAAATTGACGAAGTTTTTTGTTTTATATAAAGTGTGGTCGACCGACTTTGAGCCTCTCGTTTTTCTTTTGGAATTACGTTGGACCATTGTGAGATATGGATGATTTTTACGATTCAAAATTGTGAAAAGTTATCAGCCCGCTGGCACTGTAGGTAAACATAGTTGTTTACAAAAGGTAGGTAGTGTGTCTACAATGACTCAATGACACCCACGCTTATAGATAGTGTTGGAATGGAATTCCATTTCATTCTTTCATTCAATTATACATTTATGTAAATTGTTACTAGTATGTTGTATACATACTATAGTGACAGTATCCTATTATTTATGTTTCATGAATAAGGTGATTTGTTTATTTCGCTCACTCATATATCGGTTCTTATTTGAACTACTTATTTCTGTGCAATGAACGGTGTATGAGAGATCGAATGAAAACCATTCTCATTGGTCCATCTGCCATCTAGTACGAAACGAACCCTGGAAGGGACACCTAAAATTAAAATAATAAAAACTTCAAAATTCTGGGTTGTAACTCGGAATTTTGAAATTCCGACTTATATCTCGGAATTCAACAACCAAAATTCCAGTTATAACTCCAAATATAGGATGTAAAATAACTCGGAATTTTACATCACTTGGAATTTTAAAATTCCGAGATATAAGTCTAAATTCCGAAATTCAGGGTTATAATTGAGAATTTTGGAAAGTTTTTGTTTTTTTTTTATTTTTGAGAGCCCAAGTCCATAAAGAAACATGGACCCACCCATGGTCTTCGTCTGTTTGACTGGTGAAACAGATCACCATTTATATGAATATACGAGGTGTTTTTGAAATAACTTCATAAATATATTCAGCACATTGATACGATACGGTCTAACAAATATTCCAAAAAATATAAAATATTTTTTAAATTGAACAAAAAACTGAAAAAAAAACGATCAAGCCATTTCAAAACAATTTTAATTACTGAACTCCGCGTGATTGTGCCTTCCGCAAGGAAATTCGAAAGTGACGTCAGAATTGCTACAGTGTAGAACTTTGGGTGGAAAAAGAGGTCTCACCCCAAAATTTATGTTGATCCCTATATTTCTTCATTAGAACCATTCGATAGTATTATACGTCGGGCTCTTTCAGGGTTTGAAATATTTGTATTTATTTCAATATCACCCTGTATATCTTAGGAAAATAGGAAATAAAATCAATCCTTGAGGCACTCCACAGTTTTACTAATTAGTGATTGAATCTATGAAATTGTTGGGGGATTTAAAATTACAATCCAAATAGGTACTAATAAAATAGTAGTAGATAAATGAAGAGCGGGGTGTAGGTTAATACATACTTCCATATCAAAATCACGGTCATTACCTGGAAACTTCTGATAGACAAGTGAAATTTTGCAGTTAATTGTTTAACGACTGGATTCCCAAGTTACTTACATGAAACATAACAATTTTTGAAACGGGAATTAACACACGGTGTACTGTATTTATACATTTCACAATTTTCGACAATGACCGACACTATATTTCTTTTTCAGAACAGAGCGATTTTCATCACGTTTAAACATATTCTTCTTCATCTCGGGACAAACTGGACATATTTTTTATCGCACCTTGTATATCCATCGTCAAGAATAAATATAAATTCCATACTTCTGGAACTACTATCGTAATTTTTTGAATTTTATAATTTATCTTAACGAATCATTTTGATAAAAAATGCGTACCTTCATAATGAGACCTTTGATCCCGGAAATTACAAAACCATTTCGAGGTCAGACACCAGACATCCTCATGACGAAGTAACACTCCATTATCTCACTAGTAACACAGAGAAAATTATGTTTCATCTACTGGAGACTACGTTATTCTCCATTCCATCATTCAGTATTTCTTGTATCCCTTTGTATAGAATTCCGCAGAATGTTCTATGTTCGAACACAATCACATACCCGACGACTATTGATTCTTCGAAAAAGAATCCGACCTTCCAATTTCATTCAATTAATCGTCGAAAAAATGCATCATTATGGATGAATATTCATAACACGATTATCAAAGCTCTGAATTTGAAAATTCCGAAAACGTTTCGAGAGAAAGCATCAATCAAGAGGAAACAGGTGAGAAAAAATTGTTTTTCTAATTTTGACATGTAATGTGACACTTTTCAAAACTGACGGAAGTTTTGAAACGTCTTACTTTACGTAACCAGTTGCGTAAAGTAAAATTTTACATAACTGGTGATGTAATGTTCATTTCATTCATTCATTTCACACAACAAGAGTCGGCAGAACTCATGTAAAACTGGTCATTATTTTTGTTCATGCGAAATGTTTCGTCAAAATTAGAAAAAATATTGTACGTGACACGTTAGGAAACGCCATTTTGTGTAACTCTGTGATGTTGCGGGATCTCGCTTCGCTCGTCCCGCAAAATCCCATCGTTACACAAAACAACGCGTTTCCTAACTGATTACGTAAATATCTATTTTTAAATTATCTGTTCAAACGGTAGGATGACGACCACGATGCAATTTTACACCCATTCAATTATCACCCTGATGTAGCAATTTTATCTGAAATTACAGAAGTTTTATATTGCCACAAGAAACTGTCAAGAGATTAGGCTAATCATCGGTGAAAACCAATTTCAAATTGGTAAGGAAATTCGTGAGTTATTCTACTTTGAATTCAGGATATATTTTGGACCACGACCATATCAATGTTGACCAGTTTAGTATTACTCTCGGTATTACTACTGATTATTCCTTTTCGATATTCTAATATCAACTTTTCCAAATGGAAACCCTATTTTCTGATTTTCTCTATCCTATACTCATTACTCACCAGTCTTTCTTCGGTATTCGTGCTGGCCGGCCGCTTCAGCTCCTGCGGCTCCCTGCCGTGCATCTCGGCGGGCTTGAGCAGCGCGTGCGCCGCCGCTCCGCCGCCCGCCCCCGGATGCGGCCCGCCCGGCCCGCCCAGCCCGGCGCCGAAGCCCAGCAGGCCGGCCGCCGCCGCCGCCCCGGGGCCCATGCCGGGCAGCAGGGCGGCCGGGTGCGGGCCCATCGGCAGGCCGCCGGGGCCGCCGTGCCCGCCGCCGCCGCCGTGGGGCAGCTGCTGCGCGTGGATTTGCTGCTGCAAACAAGGAGGGTTGTGAATTGCGATATATACAGGGTGTTTCAAGATTCAGTATCGAGATTTCAGGAGCTTATTTTTTCAGATCGTAATAAAACTTTTTTTAGCAAAAGCAGGTCTCCGCAAACACTTAAAGAGATAGTATGGGTTGAATAAAAAAAAATGTGTTTAATCAACAACATCATTATAATTGTTGAATAAAACTACAATGATGGTACATTCAATGATTAGGTGATCGTCAAAACATTTGAGGAAAAATTGTACATGAACAAATTCAACGTCAACCAAAAATATTAGTTGCTTTAGGTAATAATAAAATTAGTCAAATCGAACTAGGAATGGTATTTCAACAACATTATAACTCTAACTGAAATATCATAATAGCACGCTCACTGTTATATTTGGTAGACAAAGGAATAGTAAGTTATAATCAACACATAAGTATTTCAAATCAAACTAAAGATAGCAATTCAACTATATTATATTGTAACTAAAGCATCATTACAGCTTGCTCACTGTTAAAGTTGGTAATCAAACAAAAGGGGAGGTGAAATCAACCTGCAGCTTTTTCAAATTACTCTAAAGATAGTATTTAAACCATATTATGTTGTATAACTAATATATAAACTAATAATAAATGGTAGACAAACGAACAGTTGGTTAAAATTAACCAACCTTCTTTGAATGGTTGACAATGTGATCTTCCCATTGGTATTTGCTGGGCGACAGCGTCCACATGAGATCTTGTTGCTGGCGTCTTATTTTGTTCTTTGTGTTGTGGCTTTATATTATTTTGATATTATCGTTTTACGTTATACCTATTCTGCAATGAAGTGCTTTTGGTAAGTCTATTATGTAATCATTATTCAATATCGAGTTGTAATTTAGTACTAAATTTTGTAATGATTTAACACACTGTATGAAATTTGCCCCTCATGTAACGATTAGGCAAACGATCTGTATATACCTCTACCTAGTAAACATATACACCATGTACTGTACTTAGAAGACTGAACTCAAGTTTTGTTTTTCTGTGGTTTTTTGGAATCGATTTTCAATTACATTAGAGCTGTGGCTTTTGTAATTCATTAATAATTGAACAGAATACATATTAGAATAATGTACTTGTTGGTTTACGGAAAATGTAAACACAATGACAATATTGCCTCTATGAAATCGATAAAAAAGTATCATTTTTTAGACAAGAGTGTGAGTTAACACAGGCACAGAACAGAACTAAATTTCGAATATCAACTTTGGCAACGCTCGAAAAACAGTTATTACTTAATTGAAAATGTCCAATGAGTTTTCAATATTAATTTTTCGACACCATGTATTTAGCCTGGGCATATTCCATTCATATGCTTCCATGTAGAAATTGAGTAATAATAGATATTTTCCGTAATCTTCGTATTACCAAGTTCAATTAATGTAAGCGGTTGATGACCCCTATCAACGAATAATACACAATACACTAGCAATGAACGATTATGGCATAGGCAACCAAACATACATCGCGTAGTTTCACTGTCGAGATTATAATTTTCGGAATCTCACAGTTGAATCTTGAATTAAATTAGTAGATTTAAACTGAAGTTGTAACTATGAAAGATTTCGGAGTCGATTATTTTAATTTTTTCCAAGACATTTATTTACGACCATGCCCATATTTTTACCTGAAACCACTTCACACTCAGCTGTTTTTATTGAGATTATGTTCTCATTGTTAACTGTTTCTTTATTCATTGTATTGATGTACAGATTGTTCATCGAATCGTTATATATAAAAAGGATGGCGTTTGGCAACATAGCAGTTACGGAAGGCAATGCTCACCATATTAGACAGTTGGGCGTATAATGAATTCCAATTTTCATTCTGTTCAGATATTACAGCGGAGAATGCCACGGAGACGAACGATAGCCAAATCAGTGTCTTGCTATGTTGCCATTCACATGCCCTATGTGTAACGATTGAGCGAAGCATTCTTCTTCTGATTTTAATTTTGTTTTCAGTTCGGATTTGTACATGCGGATGTTCAATTATGAACAGCAAAACTCATCATATAGTTAGATTCATCGATTACGTCAACGTTTGCCGCCTGAAAATTCCTTAATTGCTCTAATTCGAAAATAGAAATGATTTGAATCATCTCAGTGGTTAATCAGTGTGAAACTAATTTGATTAAAGCTGATCAGAATGAAACTTCCCCCTGTACAACCTGGCTATAATAAGGTTCCTAACACTTAAACAGAACCTGTTTTAGTTTCAAATAATATTCACCAAGGTTTCAAGATTCCACTTGATGACTTCATGCAACTTGGTCAACATTCAACATTGATAAACGCATGTTCATCGTTATGAAAGGAAAATTACACTTTTTATTACATTATAAATTTAATAAACCCGGTGGGAAGCCAGATGTATTTATTCCGCTGTGTTCCTAGGACATAAATATTGCAATGGACATGAGATGTTATTGTTAACCATAAATCACAGACGTTTAACAATCCCATAACCACATAGGTATATGATTCCCAGAATTTATCATGAAAGTACAATCGTTCAAAACTAGCATACATATACCGAAGATCTTTAATAATGGTAGTAGATAATATAAAAGATATCTTGATAGGTGCCATATATTTGATGTAATTTTCAATTGTATACAAGGATTATTGAAATAAATACCAGAGTAAATACCTATCTACACTACGTCTCTCGAGATAGTATTTCAATTTCAGAAATACTACATGTCGGTCACATTTTAATCTTATATCAATTCGAAAAATAAATGGGTGAGATAAATATTTCGAGCGCTTCTAGTTTTGATGTGTAGATATCATGATATGCAAAATGAATTGTTTATAATATCTGATTGTGGAACATTGGCGATTAATTGCCAATATTTATTATAAGATTTATAATCACTGCTTCTCATCGTTCAGAATAACCCTTTGATATAGGAATAAGTTTTATAAACAATAAGAAGAATTATTGTTAAAATATCTAACAGAAAAAAAAACTACGTTCGTGGCTATAATAACACAGTCATGATTTGGGAAAATCTGTTCTGTCAGCCGATACTGATGACATACCGTAAGACATTTTCCGTCGACTTCGTATTAACAAGTAAGTTCAATGTTTATGAAATTAATCGTTATCACCCTCATTAATACACTAGTTGGTTAAATAATTATTTCACAGTGATGTACTTTAAAATTCCTCAATTCAACATTACTATTGCAACCAAATCACCTTGTATTATAGCTACTAGCTAGCACCCATATAACATCAGTTTAGTTGTCAGAATGTCAATTCGTTTCGCATTCTTCTGTGTATATGAGAAAAAGGCAGTTAAAACTGTGGAAACTAATTACTTATAAATGAAGTGAAAAAAAAGGAACGTGTACAGGACTATGCGGGATGTTACATCGCATTACTCAATTCACAATACTTGTAATTACTGTCTCTATTTGTTTAAACAGGAGTACCTAAACAATGAATTTATTATATAGTTGCAGATAGTTATTTATTCCTCCATTGACTATAGACTACGCCATAAACAGGACGTTAATTAAACAGTTTTTAATTGTCGCCTGACCATTTTTTACGGAGAATCAGTGTACCTGTTAATGACACCTAATTTAAATACAGATTAACATCTAAGAAACCAATTCTGTCTGCAATTTCCTCCGAATCCACATCTGATAAATGCTAAACGTATTTTCTTACGAACGACCTCCCTAACGATCGCATTTCATGCAATTCATCAAGAACGAAACAAATAAAATCTACCTTACAAACAAAATAGGCTACGAATGAAAAGGCGGTTTTTGTGGAAACACGCAACCATTTGTAATTCTATAAATACTATACAGGGTGGCACAAAAAACATTGGATAAAAGCTGCTTGAAGCTTGTGCATTATACGAGGCATCACGTGTTTCTTTGGTAAATGTTTGCATGAATGGACCAAACAAAAATGTGGGTCAGCTCATCATTATCATAACCTATATGGGATTATTGGGATTAATGAAAAAGGTTAATTTATTTTAATCACTCCAACTCAAATCTGATGGATACTTTCTGTACAGCGAGGACCGAATAAAGTACGTCGCTCCCCCCCCCCCCCCCCCTGTAATATATTTTTTACATATTACAAAAAAATGTTTGATTCGTAAGTTGTGTGGGGTCTTATTCGATCTTTATAATGGTTTAAGATTCATTCAGAGTGTCTCAAAAAAGGACACCCCTTATATCATTGCATTTTTAGATTCAATACACGAAAAAAAAAAATTGGTTGCACCAACAAAATTATTTTGGTCAATTTTAGTTTGTTAAATTAAACACAATTTTTTGATATCAACAAAGTATATGTTTATTCCAAATAAGCGACATATTCAAAGACAAAATATTTTGATTGAAACATTTGCTTACTTGAACAAAATTTCATTTCAATCAACAACATTTATGGTTGACAAAACAAATTTTGTTGATCAAACTATCATCTCATTGTTTAATCAATCATATACAGGGTGTTTCATGAGAAGACTCACATATAGCCAAATGGTTGATAGGGGAAAGCAAGACGAGTTGATCTATACAGGGTGTTTCATGAGAAGACTCACATAGCCAAATGGTTAATAGGGGAAATCAAGACGAGTTGATGTATATATATGAAAAAAAATTTTGACCCTCCATAACGAAGATACAGGGTATTATGTGAAATTGTTATATAACTTTGATGGCCGATATTACAGAAATGATTCACCGTAATCTGCTGAAATTTGGCAGCGACGTATCTCTACTGAAACTATTCTAGATAACATATAAGAAAAAAAAATATCCAGGTCCGGACTTGGGAAAATTTCATGTTTCATTGTTATGTCAAAAAAGTTCACTTTGTGACCACTTTTCTCGAGAAATTCCATCAGATTCAGGAAGATCAGACAAAATGCTATAAGAACTGCTCTTCAATTCACACGGCACACTTTGACCGGTTCAATGAAAAATATGGAACAAAATCATTCGAATGAATTTTAAATTTCGACCTGGCTGATAACTGTCAACTTCCAACTGGTATCATGTGAATTGATTTTTCCTACATTTCTGTTGAATAGTAATTGACAGAAGAAAATATGAGAATAAAAAACACGATATTTATTTATCGAAATTCCAGATAGATATTATTATTCCTGACTTTGTTTTATGGGTTTCAATTGAAGTAATGATAAGATATCTGGTAGGCCCTGTTTTCCATTTGTGTGACGAGATGAAACGTTTGTTGATAATCCGAACTGATAGGTAGGTACTAAACTAGTACTAGGTAGGTACCAACTGATGAAATTACGACATGAGGATTCATGTGCCCATATTATGGAGATTTATCAAATTAGTTATGCCATCACGCATAACCTCAGCTCCATTTTTTGTTATTGATACATTTCTGCAAGTGGTAAAAGGATGCATTTGCTATTCATTCAAAATTCCTAATGTTCATCCTCGTGAAGGTTTTACTGCAACGTATTCTTGGGTCTGGAAATATTCTATGATATTAAACATAGCACAGCATTTGGATTTTCGTCTTGTTCAGCATTTGAAATATGAAGTGGCACCTAGGTGCAAGAATATTTCGATTACCAGTGTTTACCTATATCAACAAACGCCACGTTACATAAAATAAAATCAGGTCCTACTTTATAACAAATTTATAATATAGTCACAAGTAATCATATCCATCTAGAAGGTCGGTCAAAAACTAACATGTCGAATCATAAAAAAATCAGAACTCATCTCTTCTGTCAATTTCTATCCCATGAAAATGTACAAGAAAATCAATTTACACGAATCTAAATCAAAGATAAAAGTTATCAGCCAGGTCAAAATTGAAAATTCATTCGAGGGTTTTTGTTCCATACTTTTCTATTGAACCGGTCAAAGTGTGCCGTGTAAATTGAAGAGCAGTTCTTATAGCATTTTGTCTGATCTTTCTGAATCTGATGGAATTTTTCGATAAAAAAGGTCACAAAGTGAACTTTTTTGACATAACAATGAAACATGAAATTTTCCCAAGTCCGGACCTGGATATTTTTTTCCTTAATATGTTATCTTGAATAGTTTCAGTAGAGATACGTCGCTGCCAAATTCCAGCAGATTACGATGAATTATTTCTGTATTATCGGCCATCAAAGTTATATAACAATTTCACATAATACCCTGTATCTTCGTTATGGAGGGTCAAAAAATGTTTTCATATATATACATCAACTCGTCTTGATTTTTCTTATTAACCATTTGGCTATGTGAGTCTTTTCATGAAACACCCTGTATATATGAAAACATTTTTAGACCCTCCATATAAATTGCTTTATAACTTTGATGGCCGATATTACAGAAATGATTCATCGTAATCTGCTGAAATTTGGCAGCGACGTATCTCTACTGAAACTATTGATATCCAATCTTCGTTATGGAGGGTCAAAAAATGTTTTCATTATATACATCAACTCGTCTTGATTTCCCCTATTAACCATTTGACTATGTGAGTCTTCTCATGAAACACCATGTATATCTTGTTTATTTGATGAAATTAGATTAATTTTGACATAAGATTTAACGAAGTACATTATAATTTGTTGTTTCAACAATCATTTTATTGTTCCATCAAACATGCATATACTTATTTTCTAATCGACAAAATTGAATTGATTTTGACATTATATTTTGTTGATTCAATACATCATTTCAAAGATATATGTTGTTATTGCAAACAAATTATTTTGTTGAACAGAACCAATAGATACATTATATCAAACAAATATTTGGTTGAATGATTTTCTAGTTGCATTTTCGCCACTAGATGGCGTTTCTTTCCACCTTCCTATGCTGGCCCCGATTGGGGTGTACATAGACAGGGTGTCCCTAGACCAGTGGGACAGTTGAATATCTCCTGAACCAATAGGAATTTTCAAAATATTATAATTTCACATCATATCGCATTATGAGTGCTAACTTCAGGAATGACTATATTTTATACGAGGGGCGCAAGAGAGGCTCACAAAATCGAAAATCAATTTTTTCAAATGGAACACCGTGTATTTCATTGCATTTTCATATTCTCCTTGAAGAGCTGAATTCAACGACCTAGCACACTCAGGATCTAGCGGGAATGATATCCGAGATATAGGGTGTGGAAAATCGAGATTTTTCATTTTTGGGAATTTTTTGTGTCAAAACTATTCATTATTGGTCAAAACGGCTTACATGTCCATGTGTCAACTTTTCATTTACTATTTACTCGTATTTAATTGAAACAAATACAGGGTGGTGTAGAATTATCAGTTTCAGTCAGTCGTTGAATTCAGCTCTTCAAGGAGAACATGAAAATGCTTCATTCCCGCTAGACCCCAAGTGTGCTAGGTCGTTGAATTCAGCTCTTCAAGGAGAATATGAAAATGCAATGAAATACAGGGTGTTCCATTTGAAAAAATTGATGTTCGATTTTGCGAGCCTTTCTTGCGCCCCTCGTAGAAAATATAGTCATTCCTGAAGTTAGCACTCATAATGCGATATGATGTGAAATTATAATATTTTGAAAATTCCTATTAGTTCAGGAGATATTCAACTGTCCCACTGGTCTAGGGACACCCTGTATACCCAGAACGTCCGTTTATATAATTAAAGGATGTTCTAGAACTTGTAAGCTGATATTCTTCAATCAACTGAAAAAATGAACCTCTAATTCATCTAAGTTTTGAAATCCAGTTATTGGAAAATTTTATCAACATTATTCAACAAAATATCTTGTCAATTCTAAATACAATTTTGTTGATATACTTATAGAATGAAATTTGTCATTGAATGGAAAAACTATTTCATTATATGTATACAGAATATATATTGTTATTTTATTTTGTCATTTGAATGAAATTACACGATCATTTCAATCAGCATGATGTATTCATTTGAGCAGATATTGTATTATGGGAACAAAACAGTATTTCTTCATTCAAACAATTCTCGCTGTTGAGTTGAATCAATTATGACTTACATAAAATTAATTTTATATTGAATACTGACTAATTTGATTTGTTGCGGTGACAAAATATTCTGTCGTGGATATATGACACTCAGATTTTGTTGAATTTCAAACATTTTTGTTGTTTGAAATAATTTTTTTTCTGTGTACGTTGAATTTTGAATAAGTTCAATACATGATTTTATATCACAAAAAATTATAGATTTAGAATTATGAACACTTGTGAATTACTATTAGGACTATTGTTGCATCAAGTTTTTCTGTGCCTTTTTCTACATTTTCAATAGCAATGTAGCGTGTTCCACATGGCCATGAAGGAGTATCAATATTTTAGTGATGATTTTTCGATGAAGGGCAGCCCAATTTTAAGCAGTAATCCCATTCAACGGTATAAAAACGAATATGGTGATTTTCAGTTTTTTCAAAATATTTTAGGAACGGCTGACGTTTTTTTCAAATTGAATTACGCAAATTTCATCTAATTTGATCAACTTTCTATCCCCTACCGTGATTAGGGAACGGAAATACTATAGATATCGCTATGAAATCGGGACCCTGGTATATCAACAATCCATATCCTTTAATCAAAATCTATCCCTTTGATGTGTGCGTGGTCTACATTTAGAACAAAAAAATCAGGGCATATTTATTGCACGAAGATTCAAAATCTACTCCATTGAGTCATCATCCATCAGATTTATTCAGCTTGAACATAAATATTCGTTTACAATAGTTACATTATATTCATGCACAACTTAAGTGTTTAGGATTGCTCGCTCAAGTCTCTCGAAGACTTCTGAGGGTTGCTCGTAAGGGGGCAACCGAATGTCGGATAGAACGATTTTAGAACGATTTAGTTAAGTTGTGAATGAATTCACCATGAGTCAATTTGCGCTACCTCATACAAACATCTACCAAAAAACAACATATTATTTTGATGACTATTAACTCATACTGGCTTAGGCACTACCCTATAATAGTAATAAATATTGAAAAAACTAACAGAAACTACTTACAAGCAACTGTTGAAGGCCCTGTTGTTGCTGTTGCTGGAAACAACAACACAATTAATTTCCAAACTCTCTTAACCATCACCAAAGTTATACCTACGTACAGATTCACAATGTTTCAACCATACTCCAAATTAAAAGAAATGAAACAATTATTAAAGAATTACGTTTTTTTTTTCATGCAAAATAAAATCGGCGAGGAAAACAAATTTCTACACAACAAATTATGATAATCAATATTTTATGTCACACACTTCGAGAAAATGTAAATAGGTATTATGGAAAAATACATTTTACTACATTATATGAAGAACATGCACGAATATAATAAAGTAATAAAATAATTGAGCGATTAATAATAATCAATGATATTGGCAATACATTCTGAATCCATATAAGTTTCATTCATTTCAGTATTCAGCTCAATGTATTTTCCCTAAATGTTCAACCACAAACTACACTAATAATAATTGAATATAATGAGGTTATTCTTTCATAAATCATTTTCCCTATTGCTGTCAAGGAAACAGAAGAACATACATAGTGTTTCATATCTTTATGTGGAATACCTGTAGATAGGTGATTGGTGGTTTCAAATTACCTTTCCCCATTTAATTTTTTTTTTCTGTGACGGGAAAAAAGTTTGGCATTTCATTTCTGTTGGCAGCTTATAAAATGTCACTTTTCATAAATTACTTTTTTCCCGGATATATATCACATATATTACACAGTTGATGTCTTTTGTTGTGCTATAGCTCCGAAAAATGAGTCAATAATACCGTCTCCGAGAAAGAACTGCAAGTCCTTTTATGTTCCATTCGACTTCGCGGTTACGTATATTACTAAACAACCACTAAATTCGCAATTTTTTGAAATCAAATCACAGAATTAGACTGACAGAAGTGACATCAGATATTTGATTACTTTAAAAGAATAATAAAGATGCCTACAACGCGGTGACCCTACTGTTAAAAACTTAAAATTTCACTTCGATATTTTTCAGATTTCAAAATAATGTAATATCTTCTCAATAGTGATTCCTCCTTTCTTCTGTGACAGAAAAAATAGTCTATTATACACGGGAAAAATATTAGATTTAAGATCATGGTTTTATGTCTCCCTCCGCTACGCGTCGGGAGACAACACAACCTGGAGCTAAAATCTACTACTTTTTTCCCTTGTATAATAAATAATTATGAATGAACCACCATATTTTATACATGAGAAGAATATACAATTATACAAAACACATGTATTTATATTATGGATCCATCAGCTCAAGAATTAATTTTTTCCTGTTACAGTTACACTCTGAACTGAAAAACCTTGTAGTTTTCGAAATTCTTAATTTATAATTCAAATTTTTACTTTAATAAAATGGAGATATCTATGTAATTTTGATTACACGATGATGATTTATTAATGATGGATCAACGAAATAGCGCGTGACAAAATGGCGCCTAAGCAAAACAGCGCGTGTCAAATTAAATCAGATTATATTTTATTACCTACCAGAAGAATGAATTCTGAGCACAGAAACTACCTTATTTAATTAGTATAATAAAAATAACAGATCTTGATGAAAACGTAGGTATACATAGTTGAACAGAAATGTTTCACGATATATTGAGATATATTTTTTAGGAATAGTAGGGTCCCTTGATGTAAATTGACGTATTTGTCATCTTAACAGGGTACGGACAGATACTCGTCTCCTCTCACTCTAAAGTGTTTGTGAAACAGTTATATAGTTCCATCTTTATTCATTTCTGGGGATAAACACTAGATTTCTGACATTTGTTGTTTTTTTAGGTTATATTGAGGACATTGGCGTATCATACGTAATTTCCACATGTAATTTCTCATTCAACTCTACATATTATATCCAAATGATGATGATAATTTTCGAGTTTTTGATTTTTCAACTCCAGCATAATCTTTACGTTTTACCAAATGGGACTGTTCTTAGGCAGTACTTTGATTTCAGGCTAAGCCTTACGGTTGAGAAATGGTGAGAAATGTTATGTAGTTATTCAAACTAATGTGCTCATATGTCATGTGTGCTGTATATACCTATTCATGTTGGGAATCATTTTTGCAGTTTGTCACGAACACTTAAAATTTCCTGAATGTAGTTATAGTTTTTTAAATGGTAGGGCATATGCCTCTTCTTTTAATCCTCCGTTTTAATCAAAACTGTTTCTACTAAAATGCATTCAAAAACTTGTGGAGTGGATAATTATAGGCACAATGAGAAAGTATAATATGTGATTTCGTATTAGTTTTACCTCGAATATTTTGCTGATATATTTACCAATTTTCCCCATACTGTCACTCTACTTTCCATGTTCTAAGTTTATTTGCATTTGATGGAAAGCTGACAAATTCAAATTTGCCATCCAACTGATTGATAGCCTAACGCAGCACATTTTACCATCCTTCCAAAACAGAATTGAATAAAGTCATATTAAGATCAATAAGTATTAAATTGAAATTTCGTAAGATCTCTTTTAACGCCTATGAATGTGACAGCCACGTCATGTCAGGGACGCCAATACACGAAACCAAAGTCACTAGATGATTAAAAGAGAAAGGAGCTATGATCTGTCACCCTGTTATATGACAAATACGTCAGTTTGCACCAAAGGACCCAAGCTAATAGTTTCTATATTAAAAAACAGAGATACTCTCTTCTATATATTTATTTTTGAAAATGAATAATAAGAAAGATATAGCCAATTTGGAAAAGGTTAAACAATATTTCAGGTTAACGCTCGACACCTACAGCTGTGTAGGGTTTTAGACCTACACTGATAGGGGCCTAAATCCCGAAACCGATCTGTAGGTGTCAAGCGCTAACCTTGCTACAATCTAAAAACAATTTGGTATTTAGGAAATAAACACTTGCATCAGTATTCGTTTAAACAAATTTGTTGTTAAGTTTATTGGACATTGTGGGAATGACTTCGAGTTTCAGCTGCATTATCTGACAATTGTTAAATATTTTAGTGATGGAAATCATAGTCATGAAAATATTCTACTTCATTATGAAGAAATACTTTTGATATGTTGCAGCGCAATCTTGACAAACGCCAATATGATATATATTTGCTTCTACACCCGCGCTAAATTCGTTGAATATCTATCAAGTAATAAAAACTTAACAAACCGATAATCCAATATGTTGCTCAATCTGTGGATAAAAATTTTCAGGGAACAAAAGAATAACCTAATCATATTCCATAAGTACTCCAACCCCTCGTATACAGCACACACACAACACACGCGCGCACACTCGATTCCGCAGCCCCATCAAGGGAGAGAAAAAAAACACCCTCGGATCACATCGGACTCACCCCAATGATGGCGTTCAATTCGGTCATGGTAACTTGCTTGGCCCTTTCGACAGCTGTCGCCACTTGTTGCTGATGCTCCTGGGCCAGGAAGGGCAGTACTTGGGCTATGATGGCGTTTAAGCGTTTTGCTATTTCAGTCTGGAACAAAAACAATTATTATGTACAGTGTGTCCAGTTTTCCAACAAACACGAAAATTACTTATAAGTAATTCTTTGTCAATGTGTAGGTAATAAGTCTTCAATAAAATCTAGTCTATATTTTTTTTTTGGAATTTACTTCTTGTTAAAGATTATAATTTCTATTGGAGCTGAAATTGTGGTTATTGATGAATATTGAGTGTTAAGTTAACTTTCAGGGGCGTCCGGAGGGGGAGGCTCGCCCCCCCCCTAGCCCTGGTCTTTACTCAGATACTTTATAAACAAGATACATTTGCATTATTCAATTCCTATTCTGATTATTGCTTATAATAGTGACTTTCTGACACTTTGTTCAATTAGTATTTATCGACATCTCATGGATAGATATAGAGTTAATTTTATTAACGAAGTTATTGATAAATTTGCTCTATAAGAATGCCATTTTTGTTTGAACAAGATTATTATCACGTGCAATTTTTTATTGTAATCTTGGCTACTAACAGAATACCTATAGGTATGTGGTGTCAATTCAATTAATTTTCTTTTTTTCATTCCATTTTTTATGTAGAATGATAGTAGATTATTTATCGAGAGAGTAAAAGTGCATGATTTTTCCAGGGGTGGTTTTGTAGCCACTCACTTCCGAGGTTTATGTACCATTTTTTGCACGACTCGACGATTTTAATTGAGAGAATCTTATGATAAAATCAATTATTGTCAATATGAAAATGAAAATCTGAACACAACAATCACAAAATCAAGTTATTTGATTATTATGACTACCGATAAAGAAGAGTAGCCATATTGATTTTGTGAACATCGAAAAAGTGTGGTAGCATATTTTCTTGTTTGCTTTGCAAAGTTTTTTCAATAAATATTGCAGGAATGTGTGGAAAAACTATTGAAGAAGCTGCTGCAAACATAGTGGTAGATTTATTGCCAGAAATATCCCGGAAATTTTTTGTGCCTACTCTGTATACCCTGTATCCCGTATTCCCGCATTGGTTGGTGTAAAATCGCTTATAGGTCGTGCAAAAACTGTTTTTTTGATATGTAGTGAATATTGTACATTATTTATTGTGACTTGCCCCTCCCTGAGATTATTTCTGCGTCCGCCCCTGTTAACTTTTGATTACATTTGGGCTGACCTAAGTAAGCTCTAATAATAAGCTCTATCTGGCTCTACTAAGTTTTTCTTATCCTGCTGTAGTCACTTGCATTTTGATTGTCTAGTCTAGATTATTGAGTGAGTTGTTGGATAGGTCCTCATTAGACGAGTAAAATTATTGTTCCTTCGGGATTTGGTTGTCCATTATCTCATGTTCGCATTGTTTACATTCTTTAATTGTTTTCTACCAGAAAATTTTTGGCAATTTTGTGTGTCAAGTCAGATGTCAACTTCAAAATTAACTTTCATTATTTCAGAACTTTCGGTCTCTTATCAAGTTCACAATCATGTTAACTGTTTAAGAAATGTAATCTGCATATTATTATCCCAGTTTGGAAATCAAATTTTGATACGTTTGTACCGTAATAGCCCATAATGTTAATAGAATACAGGAGCAAAGATTTCTGCAACCAACACAAAAGTCGTGCATTTTGATACCAAAATTAGCTCTTAAATCGACGTTTCTATTACTGACACAGAAATAGGTGTGTTGATAGGCAACATATTTAGTTCCTAGGAGCTAAAGTTGAATTTTAGTTCCTATGAGCTAAAGTTGAAATTTAGTTCCTAGGAGCTAAAGTTCAACTTTAGCTCCTAGGGACTGAAAAGGATCTACTGGACGTCATCGAGAATAAACAACATTGTGACGGTTGGTGATTTGGGTTGAGACGCATACCTGATTTGTTTCCGATTTCAGCAGATTTGGCATTTCATACCCATGCTGGAGATATGGATACACCTTATTATAGTTTACTATTGGACTCATAAACATCTCAGCTAAGTATTTTTGTTTTGATCAGGGAAGCCTTCAAGATTCAAATACTTGCTTGATCTGTATTTCATTCGTTATTTTCGGGATGGATAACTTGTTTTTGAATAATCACGAAAAGCAATAGTTTTTTTGGCTCAAACAACGATGTTGATGTTTAGCTTCATTTGATTATCAAGTCAAATACAGTGTAGTATGGAGTGATATGCTCACTAACCATTTTCCACGTCTTGTTCCTATAGCTGGCTTTGGCGCGGTATTTGCCATTAGAGCACCTTGTCCAAATACAAATATGTCACTCTGTGGTTGTATTTATATTGAAACTACAATTCGAACATCCTAGAAAACCTAACCTGTTGTTAATGCAGGTAGAATATTCTCACCACATGGAATATTTGTCAATATATGTTGCATTGCATACATATTATGGCACGGCATTGGTGGTTACTTCACATGTTTATTTGAGTTAATTGTTCCGGTTGCAGAAAAAATAGCAAGTTTCATTCGGATCTAAAGTGACTTTGTTCAACTCGCAAATTTTGCTTTCGCGCGGCTTCGCTAAACGCTCCGCCTCGCAAATGCAAAATTCGCTTCTCAAACAAAGTGTCACTTTTGATCCTAATAAAACAATCTACTATTTATGGATAGCTACTTTTCTTATCAACCTGACGAAAAAATGACCTCACGTACATCTGATAATGTTAAAATTGAGAAAAAAATCAACAACATTTTAATTTCTCTCATGTCTTTTTCAATAGGTAGAAACTGATTACTAATTCACATGAACGCTCTGATGATGACTGCTCGGATGACTGTATACAGTGTGTCCAGAGTTCTCGATGCTTTTGTGTGATATCTCAGTTATCTTTGGAGATAGAACCTTGTGGTTTTCGCAGTCCTCTGCCACTTTTTAGTGAAACTCAAGATCGCCTGATCAGATTTTGCATAACTGTTTCCGTTTATCAGATACAGGGCGATTTTGAAAATTTATACTTTTTGAACCCCCCCTATATCTACGAAGTTTCTTAGCGAAAATCTCATTCGATAGGAAATTTTACGTAGACTCCAGTGGCGCACTCAATTTTTTTTTCGGGGTACGGTTTTGCAGATACGACTCAAACTTATGATTTTTAAATGGAACACCCTGTATTTTATGAGCTCATTGAAATCCCTATGTTTTTCCCATCAAAATAATTTATGATGTATAGATATAAAATTTTCAAAACTGCTCAAAAATCACAAAAACATTGAATTTTAATATTTGGCTATGGATTTTTCATATAATGAAAGTACCAATTTGAGGAAGATTCCTATCGATTTTTCCATGAAAAGGACAAAAACAATATCAACACTAATTAATAACAAAACAAGTTAGGTACCTGAAAGCAACAAATAAATAGTTATAAAAACTTCATAATGTAGAATAAGCACCTGATTAAATATTTACTGAAACAATTGAATGAATGAATTTCGAAATTATTCAGTAACTTATTCATTGAATTTTTCAAATTGATGTGTCAACGTGGGGCGCCAAGTTGAGACAATATTCCAAGGTAAGAAAGTTTGTGAAATATTTATTCACAATAAGAATCTGAAAATACAAATATGAAAATACCAGGAATACTCTGATTCAAATTGTTCACAAATTAATTTCCTACTTTATTTATTGACGATGCGATCTGCTTTGCTAAAATCGTATTAGAGAGTCAGTTTCGCACACCTTATACACTCTTCTTGAGAGAATATGTCGCACTTGGACGGTGTCAACTCTCTTCAACACCATTGCGATAAGAGCGCTTACACCATCTATCCGCGACATGTTCTCTGAAGAGTACTGTACAATACGTAAAATTTTCTATTTCAATTTTTACTTTTCTATGATGATATCTCAGTTATCTTTGGAGATAGAGAGTTGTAGCTTTCACATTATGTCCTACTTTTTTGTGGAATCTACGATTAGGCAAAAAGAGAATTCGCACAGCCCTCGAGCCCTCACACATGAAAATAATTTCAAGAAAATATATCAATTCAATAAGAATTACTCTATATTCAATAAGTCCCAATGAATATTCTTGAATAGATCATACTATTACTTTCTCAAAGAAATATTAGGATTTTTTCGACTTTTCAAGAAAATAATATGCTACCGTAATCTTGATTCGATACGAATCATTCAATAATTTCTTCATTGAAACGTTATAAATCAATCAATAATTTTCATATAAAGGAATATTGAACTATGCATGTATAAAGCAGTATCATTCAGTTGATTCTATATAAATAATTCACCATTTATTTCATTAAAATGAATTAAAATACTTTCAAATTTAGAGGAGAAAAGAAGTTCAATATTACATATTGATCAAGTACCGAGTCAAGTACTAATGAAATCATTCAGTATTTTCTCCCTTCAAAAATTGTTCCAACGTTTTCAAATTGACAGTTCTGAAATCAAGAACTGAAGAAACCACGTCAATCGAAACTCATAAATAAAAATGATGCACACCCTGTGCTTATAAGAAGATCGTCGACACAATATAAAACGTCGGTATTATTAGAAATGAAATCAATGATGCCGAAGTATTTCATTCGAAGCGTTCGTGAAAGATAATCGATGACACACCATTATCGAAAAGAATCCATCACCGATCTATTGTATTCGGCAGTAAAGCGAACAAAACAAATAACGAAAAATATTCCTTTCAGTCGGTCCCATACCATGTGTTCTTTGTGTTTCTTCGACACCCACTCGAACGGAAAAGATAGAAGCAATCAATACCAATTGCTTGTTTCGGGAGCACCTCTATGCCACAACTTTTAGTCCGACTTTTATTACAGTTCTTGGGTTTGAAAAATTCTAGTATTACCACTCGGGTATAACTTTTACAACATCTGGAAATGTAAGTCCAAATGTTCGGGCACACTTCGGAATTCGTAAAGTTTTCATATTGATATATTTTTTCTCTCGCTGTCTCAATTCAAGCATAGACTATTTAGTGTCTTGAGGAACTAGTTTATATATATATTAGTTTATATTCTCTTCGAGTTATGTATAGATATAGG